TAGTTTTTACAATTTCATCCTACTATACTAAATTCTACAATTATATATAATTAAAAAATAATTACTGATTACATCTTACACACTACAAAAAAAATAGGAAACAAAAGAAAATACATAATAGTATGCAAAATAATGAAGAAAATGCCCATCTAAAGATAGGCCATTTTAAAAAGCATTGTCTTCAATCCTGATTTAAATGCTTGTATATTTGACGACATGCGCAACTGAAAAGGCAGTTCATTCCATAGCTTAGGAGCGCATACNAGCACGGTTAGAGGTCTTACCAAATTTTAAGACACGCAGGAGTCTTTCAGATGAGTACGATGGTTAACTTGGGGAGTGGATTTCAATTCAAGAGCCTTTGACTCGTCTAGGTGTTAAACCTGACGAGAAGATGAGCGTTTGCTCTTCGACGCCGCAACACGGGGGATAAACAAATTCCAGCTTGCTAGAAGGTGATGTGAAAGTGAGAAAATGTCATGCAATGCTATTTTTAAGAAACTGTATGAGCCGAAAATGGATGTGATTTTGACCATTCGCTTCAAAATAACAGCGGAAATCGAGATAACAAAATATATGTTTTGTGGCCTACTTTGCAGACTAGGACGTGTATCGGCGTTTTGAAAAGCATAATTATGTTCTTTCATTCATTCATTGCCATGGAATATGCGTTTACATTGTTTTTTCACTGTTAATAGCTCCGTTAATGCGGCTGGCGATCATCTTGCCGGCGGAAGTTTCATAGAAAAGGAATAAAATGAAACACTTTTCCCAGGAATTACGTATTCAGCCTCTGTGGTGTAGTGGTTAGGTGTAGTCGCGTCGAATCGAAGGTGCCGGGTTCGAGTCCTACCGAATTATTTAACCCTATTTTCTTTTTTTTCCGTTTTTTGTGTTGTTGTTTTCTATAAATATATAGCTAAATAACTGTTACTTAATAAAGTGCAACAAACAGCAAGAAAAGTATTGTGTTTCCAGAGAAAATATCGTGCACCGTATATTAAATATATGGATAAACAATCTCAATTTCTATTATTTCCTACAATTTACTGTGGGAAAACCAGAGTTGATAACCACTTGATCATTTTCTAAACAACGTCCCCACGAGTTCTTTCTATAGACTGATAGTAATTATTCTAGTACTTTCCAACATGTAAATAGGACATTCAATGTCATTTTTGATTCTTTTAAGTCTCACTGCCTAACAAATGCCAGTATCAACAGAATGTGCCGCAGCATTACTATCTTTTAGATACCCTAGTAATAATAATAATATATTTCATTTTTATAGCGCTATTAATACTAGTTATTCATAGCGCTTTACAATTGTAAACCTTATACTAACTATAAAATAGTTTTTACAATTTCATCCTACTATACTAAATTCTACAATTATACATAATTAAAAAATAATTACTGATTACATCTTACACACTACAAAAAAAATAGGAAACAAAAGAAAATACATAATAGTATGCAAAATAATGAAGAAAATGCCCATCTAAAGATAGGCCATTTTAAAAAGCATTGTCTTCAATCCTGATTTAAATGCTTGTATATTTGACGACATGCGCAACTGAAAAGGCAGTTCATTCCATAGCTTAGGAGCGCATACGTACGCCATAGGTAACAGTTCTAGATTTAGGAACACTAAGCAAATGTTAAGACTGAGATCTAAGAGAGATAAATCATTAAGTGCTTTGTAAGTCAGCAGTAGCTTTTTAAACCTTATACGATAGGAAACAGGGAGCCAATGAAGTCTAACTAGAACGGGAGTTATATGATCATATTTACAAAGCTACAGCTACAGTTGAACCTCCGTTAAGCAGCCACCCTCTATTGAAAGACCAGTGACCAAATAATTGTAGAAAACTAGTAATAACCAAAGGTTACGGAGTGCAGGCGACAACGATCAAAGGGCAAAACACTTTTGCTCAAACGCTGTGCTTTGCATAAGTTTCACGTGATAGATTGTCAAAACGCGCGTGATCCGATTGCGAGTGATCAAATTGCGTTCTGTGCATTCCATTCATTGTTAGTGGAAGTCCAAACGAATGCTGGCTACATACTTGCGACGCATGCGTGAAAAATGCAGTTTTGCATTCGAACCAGATTTTGCAGCGCCGTAGCAAACAAGTAAGCCGGATATTCCATGCAAGTGCCGTGATCGCCACAGGAAAAGAACCGTATGAAGTCTTATTTATCAAATGTTCAGCCTCTGTGCTGATTTCTTCGCCCTTCTAGTTGCTTTTAAAAATTAATCAGAGCAACAAAATTCAGTTCCACGGCAAAACGCCCGAAATCTCCTTTCTTCAATCTGCAATAACTCTGCGAAGACTTGTTCAAATCTACAGAAATTCATATCGATTTGTAGCTTTGCTTTTCCCCTCTCTGATTCAAAACAACTATTTTGATCAGCGGCTCCTGTTTAAGGGTAAATACGTTGGCTTAACACCACCATTAGTCGCCCGTACGCGAGTCGGTAACATGAGTCCAGAACCTCGGTCGAATAC